TGTCGTGTTGAGGCACCGCTCTCGGTGGAGCTTCCTATCGGGCCACGAGCCGTGTGAGGGGTGCGCCAAAATGGGGCGGCGCCGGCATGTGGACCCCCCCAGTGGGGCTTGCGGTGGAGCTCCCTATGGGGCCACGAACCGTGTGAGGGGTGCGCCAGGCTGGGGCGGCGCCGCCGTGTGGTCCCTGCCGCTGGGGCCTTCGGTGGAGCTCCCTACGGGGCCCCGCAGCGCTGCGCTGGGTGCGCCGAGACACCGAGTCAGACGCAGACATGCGGAGGGCAGAGGCAGGGACGGGAGGAGGAGAGGAGGGGGAGAGGAGGGAGCGGGGCGCTGCCTCTTCAAGACGAGGGCACAGCGCCAGAGGAGGGCTGGGGGAGCAGCAAACAATTCCCTTGCGCGGGCGCGCCCGCGGTCAGGAGCCCAGGCTCCCAGCCCCATGGCCGGCCAGGCCCGCATAGCGACGCCCTGCGCGCGCCGCGCGCGCGGCGGTAGGAAGCGGACCTAGGCAAGCTTCAAGCAGTGGCGAAGCGTCCTGGCGTGCCTATAGGCCTACCAGGCAATGTTCTAAGAACCTTTTGTGGCTTCCATGACATGTTCTTGGAACATTCCGTGCTGGGACTGTCTTGTTTTAACACATCGGGCTCATGTTCTAAGAATATTAGTTTGGCTCTTTGAACATGTCTGGGTTCTAAGAAAATTTCGTGGTAGGCCTAAAGGACTGCTGGGACGGTCGGTCCCTGCTCAAAACAGTAGCCGGCCACGCGCAGAGGGGGGTAATCATCTGGATTAGGTGGAGGAGGGAAAGTTTCTTAGCAGCACCCCTGTTTCGTGGAAGGCGCGGGCCTTGTCTACAGATGCAAGTTCGGCGCCTTCTAAGGAGCCGCCCCTTGCTAAGGAGCCTTCCCCCCGCCCCCTACGCCTCTTGCGCACGCTGCCAACATTGGACCACGAGCAGGGCGGGGGGTGCTTCGCTGCTCTCGACCTGGGGGCCCTCTCGCCGCGCCGCAGGGCCGTGAGCAGAGCATCTCCGGATGTGGCCCCAATCCGAAGTGGCGGGGGGGCAGAGAGGGGCCCCAAAGAGGCCCTTGAGGTTATGATGTTCCAACATGCTTTAGCCTTGACCGCCAGGAAGAATTTCGAGCACCAGAAACATGTGCCGAAACTCGAGGGTTTCCACGTGTCGGGCCCTGGGAGACACTCGTCCGACACTGTTTTGACACTCTTTCGACACCTTTCCGGGTGCTCGAAATTATTGCTGGGATGGGGTCTTTGAGTACGATGGGAGGATTGCAAAAAAACCCTGGGTTTTTTTGCAATCCTGGTTTTTTTTGCAATCCTGGGTTTTTTTTGCAATCCTGGGTTTTTTTGCATGACCTTGAGGGCCCCTTTTGGGGCCCCTGCTGGCTCCAAGAGAGGCCCAGCGGGCCTGCTTGGGGCCCTCGTCTTCACCCACCATTCAGCTCATTGCCCCGTTGCCGCCCGCCCGGTGCAGGGCCAGCCCTGGGGAAAGGGTTGGGGCTTCTGGGGCGGCGTGTGGGGCAGATTTGGACCTCGGAGGACTTCGTTTTGCATGCTTTGGGGTCCTTTTGTCGATTTCTCTGCAGGATGCGTTCCAGCATCTGCGCCTTGCCGACGACTTTCCAGGGGTGCCTGAAATCGCCACGAACGACCGCTGGAGACCCGAGTTACGACCCGAAGCCGGAAACGGGTTCTTAGGTTTGTTGCCGTGTTCGGGCCCCCCGTGCCCAGCATGGTCCGCAGGACCGTCGGAGCGCGGCTCCGGACGGAGAGTTGGCCCTGCCACTGCTAGGGCCCGTTTCCCGCAGGACCCGCTTGCTTCACGCCCAGCGTGCTCGCTCGCCGGCGCCGCCCAGACTATGGTTGCCTCTTGCTGTCCTCCAGGCCTCCCAGATGGGGTCGGAGGGTCGCGCCGCATCAACGATGCATCGGCGATGCGGCTCGATGTGGAGCCAGATTTTCTCTACGTCGGCGCGCCGATGCACTGCCGACGTCGCCGGTGCATCGCCAGTGCATGGGCGATGCATCGCCGATGCATTGGCGATGCGGCAGGATCCTCCGACCCATCTACTCCGACGCTGTCTGGGAGGCCTCTCTGTTTGGTCCCGGCGCTTGCCCTGCACCTCGGCCCCCTGGGGGAGCCAGCTCGGGCCCCGCAGCTTCCGAGAAGCACGGGCCCTGGGGCGAAAGACCATGCTCCCGGGGAAGGGGCCTCGGATCCAACAGATCAATGCACCTCACGTGCGGGTGCGCGGGGAGCGGCGCCCCGGCAGCGAGAGAGGAGTTCGAGGGCCGAGGTCCGAGAGGCCTTCGGGAGTCTACCCCCCCGGGCTCCTCCCGCCTTCCTCAGGGGATGAGGGGAGCTCGGAATGGGGAGGGCGTCAAGGGGAGAGAGGGGGCGGAGGGGCGATTTGGCCAGGTACTGGACGCACCTTGTCTCGAAGCCGATCTCAAGGATCCCCCACGTTTCTCAGGGCACATCCCGGAGATTGTCACCGGCCTGGGCTTGACAATCTCAGGGATAAGGATGAATTCGAGGCTGGTAAGGGGGAGAGGGGCGATGGGAAAGGGGGGAGGAGGCGCGCCAATGATGCAACCCGTCAGAGCTTGGATATCCAAACTGGAAGTGGAACAAGGTGGAAGAAGGGAGACGGTTTTGTTAAGTGAAGACGGCCCCGTCTGGCACGAACCGATTGCAGAAGCGTGCACGCCCACAGCTACATAATACGATCCTCGAGAATAGTGTTCTGAGTCGGCGATGTGTACGCGTACAGGCGTCTGACAATATCATCGAGGATAACAGACCCGTTAACCCGCATAACGTAGTGAAGACGTGGCTTCACTTAGGTCCACGTCTTTGCGTCAGGGATAATACTTCTGGGCGATGTAGCCTGACACATCTGAAGAAAGACTCCCTACCGCTAATGTCTTGGGCCCTCCTACCTTAGGTCCCCTCCGAAAGGGTCTTGGCTACGATTTGTGTTTATCGCAATACGAGCCTTGGCAATTTCATGGTCGGTGAAACCTGAAAGGATCCAGCACCACTGGCGGCGGTGCAGGAAGTGGTGTCATACCTCGCACATGCAAGAGCGCGCTGGAGCCTGCATGATGCGTCGGCCATGGCCTACACGCGTCCAGCTGAGCATACGCAAGATTCCTTGGGGTCATGCTCATTGTGCAAAGGTCCGTGTTTTCATTGTCGCCATGATTGTGTGTGTTCGTCGCGGCTTGTATCTTCCTCGCGTTATGATAATGTCCTTCGCTGTCGTTTGATCATTCCCCAAACAGTGCTTGCGCTTGGGGCTTCTTACTTCTGTTCTGAAGTCTCTGGGCCATGGTGCTGCCCTGGCCGGCTTGCGGCCACCCGTCGCCCGCCGTCGCCGTTGGGCCCCAGTCCATCGCCACTGGGCCCCGGAGGTGGACTGGCCGGCTCGCCGCCGCCCGTTGCTGCGATGTTTTGCATCGTGTTGCATTGGTTTGCATTGCGTTGCATCGTACCGCGCAGTTGCTTGCACTTCTTTGCGTCGCAGTGTGTCGCGATCTATTGCGTTGCTCTGCTTTCGATTACCCCTGCTATGCGCAACATGCGCTGCACAGCATGGAACGCACCACCTAGGTTGCACCACATTGATTGCGCCAATCTGATTACCAACTTACCACACACCCAGGGTCGGATGCCCCTCAACGGACGGTCCCAGCGGCGGGCCAGGCCGGTATCACTGGATGCCACTCTCGCAGCGGGCCTGCACGCCAAGTGTCAGCTGTGACGCGAAGCGTCCAGATTAGTATCAAGAGTAATAGGCATACGAGCGCTGCAGACTGAGCCAACGGATCATTCTGGACTCATTACCTTTGCTTACCCTCCAAGCTCTTTGTTCAGCTTCGGGTGGACACCCCGCAGATTGCGGTCAGCCAGTCTGCGCCTGGCCTGGTCTGACCTGGTGGGATTGGCGGGCCACCCTGGGCACTGTTTGGCCAGCCTCCGCGCGCCATCTCGCGCAGTAGTACTCATTGCGCAACCCGCGGACGGCAAAACCCTTGGCTCAGACCAAGGATCGCGCAGCCCAAGAATCGCGACAACAGGCGCAACCCGCGGTGGACGCAACACATGGCGCAACGGCGCAACAACCTATGGATGTCGCAACCGCTGGCGCAACCCATTGATGGCGCAACCACTAGCGCAACTTGTGGCGCAACCCATGGATGGCGCAACCTATGGCGCAGCCCGTGAATGGCTGCAACCATTTTAAATTTTCCGACCCAACCCCCCTCTCCCCTACCCCTCACCATTGTGCGGCTTCTTTTTCCCACCCATGAATCACACAACGCATGGATCGCGCAAATCAGGGATGGCCACGGCTCAACTCATGGATCCCGCAAGCCACGGATTGCCATGGCGCAGTGCACGGATCGCGCAGCCTATGGCTTACGGCGCAGCTGATGGATGACACAACCTAGGCGCAGCCTCGGTGTGCAGCCCACGGCACGCGCAACCCATGGCCCGCCGCACGAGAGGCTCGTAGCCCAGGCAGGCTCGACAGGGCTATGGCCGATTGATGCTCGCCGTTTCGGCTGGCGGTGGGACCAACGCAGCGAGCTGCCTTCCGATCACCTACGATTCAGTATGTAACTTATGGGTGTCCTGCATGCTTCTTGCGGGTAGTTGCGGGGATCATTGGGCGGTTGGGCAACAAGCGTTATTGTGTTCCAGATGGTGTGCGCGGGGGGTTCCGATCATCTTGTATCTTCAGTGCCGACTGGAATCGGTACCCGTTCATCCCAGATCGGATGCAGCTCTCATCTTGTAGCGCCCCTCGTCCCGTAACCTCCTCCTCCTCCTCTCTTCCTTGTCCGTCTCGTCGCTGTCGTCATCTCCCTCCCACTCCTCCTCCTCCTCCTTCTCCTCCTTCTCATCCTCCTCCTCCTGCTCCTCCTCATCCTCCATCTCGAGGTTGAGCCGGCCGTGGCGGCGAGGGGCCCAACCGGAGCACCGGAGCCCCAGAGAAGGACGCGGGGCGCCACAGAAGACTTTGGCCCCCGAGCTTCGAGCCGCGACCCTCTCCTCCTCCTCCTCCTCCTCCTCCTCCTCCTCCTCCTCCTCCTCCAACCCTCGTCCTGACCATCCTACTCCCCCTCCTCCTCCTCGTGCTCCTCCTCCTCCTCCTTCTCCTCCTCCTCCTCGTCCTCCTCCCCCTCCCCCTCCTCCTCCGCCTCCTCCTCCTCCTCCCTTCTCGACTGGGCCGAAGAGTGACCCTTCGCCAGAATGACCTTTGGTGTGGGTCTGATGGGGTCCCCCGATCGCTGATCGCGAAGCGGCAGCAGCGGCTCACGCGCCCAGGTCTGGCCACCCCACGTCCCCCGCTGAGCCGCGCACCAGAGGTCATGCTTGCCTAGGCTCACTCTTGCGTGTAGCCGACCCTCATCTTGGCATCGCTGGGACGTGTGCATCTCTCTCGGCATGGACCCTCGAGGAGCATTTTGCTCTTGGCCCACCTTGCGAAGAAATGCACGCGCGAAGCCGACAAATGCACGGGGAATGGACGTCCGAGCCATGGCGAGTCCTCCTCCCCGTCCTACTATTGCCACCCCACCCCTGGCGCCCGGAGGCGAGCGCGCAGCGCGCACCGGCGGCGCCCGTGGCGGCAGACCAGCCGCGTTTCCCCCCGTCCCGGCAGGCGTGCCCGCCGCCTCTCCTTCGACGATCACCGAGCGCGTTCCGCTACTCGCAAAGTGTCTACTCGCAAGCGTCTGAAACGAAAACGTCCTCCTCCGTGCAATCTATAGTAGGCCCCCCCCCCGCGGCGGATCCAGGCCATTTGCGAGTAGTATCTTTGCGAATGGTGGAACGCGCTTATCCCTTCGAGGAATCGGGGGCGGCCGAGACGTGAGGTGAAGACCAGAGGAGGAAGAGGTACCCATGCCGCCACCCCATCGCCCGGTTTCCCCTTTGTGGGGCTTCCCTGGAGGCCCTCGTCGCCACCGCTGGATTCGCCTCGAAATCCTGGTCAGCATGCGCACCTGGAGAGGTCCGGGAAGTAGCAGTGTTGGTGCCATTGCGTTTTCCCAATCTCGAGGGGTGATGCTTAGGGGGGGAGGGGAGATCATGGCCAGGGCCATTATGCCTCCCGAAATTTCATGGCGCCTCTTCTTTTCTTAATGCGTCCCCGCCCCTTCCTCCCCAGGCCGCGCATCTGCCGCCGGCAAGATTTACCCCCCACCCCCCCGCCCTTATTGGACGCCCCCCTCTTGGACGCCCCTTTATGAGGTCCGCGCGGGTATCTTGATCGCGCGCGCTTCGCGCGCCAGAGAGGGGGTCCAGTGCCGATCCGAGAAATCCGCGCGGACATCCAGAAGTGCATGTTTCCACAGAATTTGCTCCTCTGTTCCTGCTTGTTTCGGGGGACGGTTGGGGATCCCAGAGCTGACCGTGTGGCGACCACACCGTGTGGTGAGTCAGTGGGGATCGAGGGTGACCGCACGGTTGTGAGACTGTCGGCCGTTCTCCGAGAACGTCTCGGGCAATTGCGGCCTCCAGGGTCCCAAGACCGTGCGGTAACGGCCGTGCGATCAAGTTTGGGTATATTCGGAGGTCACCGCACGGTCTGTCACCGCACCATTTTCTTGGGACCCCCCAACAGGAGGGAGGGAGGGGTGAGGGCTAGGGTTGTGTGTGTGCGCGTGTGTGTGTGTGTGTGTTTGTTTGTGTGTGTGTGTGGGTGTGCGCGTGGGTGTGTTTGTGTATCTGTGTGTGGATAACATGTTTGTGCCCATGACGGCTCCTGGGGTTTCCATAGCCGCCTGTTCGTGTTCCCGTTCCTCCCAGGCCCCCTCTAGGCCGCGCGCATGCCTTGGGGCATGGTGCGCCGGTGTGCCTCTCCCCCCCTTCCTGACCCTCGCGGGCGCCGCTTCGTCGCGACGGCCTGTCGTGGATCATCCGCAGAGAGTGCGTAGAGTGGGACCGAGGTATAAGATCGAGATCGAGTCGGAGAGGTACCCCAATGTTCTTCGTGTTTGTGGGATGTTCTAGTGTATCATGGGGGTTCCCTCGAATGTACTTCAGTTTGGCTGGCGAAGGGTCTCATTTCTTGAAGGATGTTCTCGTGCCGCTTGACCCAGAGAGACGGGGAATATCCGGAGTTTTCTGGATCTGGAGGACGTTTTCGGGCTGCGGGGCCATCAATCCATAATTTATGATGGGAGCCATGTCCCTAGGAGAATGTCGAGAGGTGGGGGGGGGGCATCGAAAAGTATACAACATTGGATGTCTCGGTGTACAACGCCGCCATGCCTGCAGGGATCAATCCTGGGCCTTGTGATAACGTATAGTGTATAGACCCTCCTGGCCTTGGCCAGGATTGTCTACACCATGAGAGGGCCCAGGACGGCCCTGGTGGCGTACAGATGACCTCTGCGTGTGTCAGAATGGTATCGGGGAGGGGTCCGGGCCACGAGTTCGAGCGGGCCCTCGCGAAGGCGAATAAGAAGGGAAAAGGGTCGTGACGAGGCGTGTCTGGACCGGCGTGGGCCGTCTTTGGGGGGGATAGGGCGGCATGCGTCGGTCGTTAGAGCGGCCGCCGCCGCGAACGGTGTTCCTAGCGAGGCCCCGCGTACGGTAGATTCGCGTCGTGCCCACGCGGTACAGACGAAACCGATGGAAAGGATGGGTAACCTTCCCCAGGGTTCCCTTGCATCCTTGCCTCCTCGATCCATCCTTAACCACTCTCGATGGCCATGGGCGTCCAAGGGGCGTGCATCCTTATCGCGCATCCTTACTATCAGTTTTGACTGCAGCGACCCCGCCACTGGCGTTCAAGTTTAAACGCCGCCAGTGGCCCAGAATCGGTCAGGCCGATTTTCATCTGTTCTCACTCCTTTCGTTGATCGTCGCCCTGGGGCCCATCTCGGGGGTTGCCATGGCGGTGGTCGCTGGTCTTCCTGCTGGTTGTCATGGCTCGGACTGGATCGAGAAGCCAGTCTGGACTCCGGACTGGATCCAGGACGGAGCGCGAGGAGGATTCAGGGGGCGACTCTGCAGCGCGTATATAGTTTCGCTGGACGCAACAACATGCATCATGCGATAGGCGCCCTCGGATCCTGCGTTGGGCGCCCTCGGATGTGTTTTGCCACGTGTGCTTCGGCCCCCTCCTGGGCGGCGCGAGCACTCAGAAAGCTGTTGGTATATGTTTGGTGGCGGGCGCTTTCTGGTCAAACCGCCTGGGCAAGGACATACTGTATGATGCATGTACTTTATGTATAAGGGCCTGGCTTCCTCATGCCTCGCTTCCACTGCCTAATCTGGCAGTGGTTTTCTCGTCATTGGAGCGGGCGTGCGCAATCTCGATCCGATCGATCCGGTTCGATCATGACATCGGCCGGCCCGATCCAGCTCTCAAGCAGTGGCGAAGCGTCTTGGTTTGCCCCATAGGCCCACCAGAAATTGATCTAAGAACCTGTTGTTTGCGCGAAATGCTATCATAACATTTCTGGCTGGGACTGCCTTGTTTTAATACATCGGGATTATGTTCTAAGAACATTGTTTCCCGTATTAGATCATATCGTGGGTCTATGCATGTTGCATGATAATCCGACAGGAATGCCGGGATGGTCGGCCCCTGCTCAAAATTCGGTTCCGATATCTTGGCGATCCAGTGAGTCCCAGTGCTCGTGTTGCGTTGTTGTGCATGCATCATGGCGCAGCCGATCTGATCACGACTCCGACGCCGATTTCGGCCAGATCCGACGCACGCTCCGATCCGACACGATTTCCAAGTTCGATGTTGTTGATTGATCCTGCCATGGCCTGGGGGTGGCGCACGCGAGGGGGGCGGCCTTCTAAGAAGGCAACGAGCGAGGCCTTCTGAGAAGCTGAGAAGGGCGCCGCGCCTTCAAGCAGCCCCCTCAGATGCCGGGCGGGCTTCTCAGAATTTGTCTCTGCCCTCTAGGACGCCCCGCCGCCTTCTTATCAGCCCGCCTCTCCGACTCCAGCTCCCATTCCGTCTCCCCGACCCTGGTTCCGATTCCAGCTCCCTTTTTTCCGACTCTGGCTCACGAGCCTGATTATTTATGTTGGCAGGAATGGTTGAAGGTCTTCCCACTCCGGCTCACGATCTAGCTTCTTTATGTTGGCAGGAATGGTTGAAAGTCTTCTGCTGGTCCCGACTCCGGCTCTCATCTCTCCGATCCAGCCTTGGCTCCGGTTCCCGACGGCTCCAGCTCCCGTCCATTCTTACGACTCCGTTTCCAATTTCCGCCCACTTCTCCGACTCCATCTCCGATTCCAGCTCCCGTCTCTCCGACTCCGGCTTTAACTCCAGCTCCCGCCTCTCCGACTCCAGCTCCCATCCCGCCTCCCCGACCCTGGCTTCGATTCCAGCTCCCCTTTTTCTCGACTCCGGCTCACGATCCTGATTATTGATGTTGGCGGAATGGTTGAAGGTATTCTGCAGGTTCCGACTCCGGCTCTTATTTTTTGTTCCGACTCTTGGTCTCTTCCCATCTCTCCGACTCCGATTCTGGCTCCGACTCTGCATGGGACACGCGCCTTCGTCCAGCAAGTGCAGTAAGCGGACCCCGGCCGACCCGCGCTGCCCCCAAGGGGCCAGCTGGCCGACCGGCCGGCGGACTCGGCGCGTTCGTTCGTTCGCCTTCAGGAGCAAGCGGTCATGGTAGTGATGATACGGTCCAAGATTTCCAGGGCTCCCAAGGTTTCTGAATCTCCCACACGGGCTGCGGACACGAGGGCAGCTGGATACTCTGGAAACCCTGCAACGCATCCTGAACCAATCCTCCCATGACATGCTTCTCGTCCTACGCCCCCCGCACGCCACCCCCGTGGGGGGCGCCGCCAGGTCGTCCTCCTCCCCGAGCCTTCCGCGGCCGCCGTGCCCCGTCTCTGCCTCGGGGCCGCGGCCCGCTGTCCCTTTTGGCCTGCGCTCCCCGGAGGCTGGCCGGGCGTGCAAAGCGCTGTCGGAGGTCCTCGACGGCGGGGCGGGGTCTGGGGCAGCGACTCGGGGAACGAGAAATGGCAGACCCGTCAGTCGTTGGCAGTAGGTATTTTTGAGTGCCCAGATCCGAATCTGTTCTAGCCGCTATCCTACTTTAGGGGTCGAGCGGTTTTCGCTCTTCCCTCTTCAGGGGGCTGGCGGGAACCCAATCTATTCCAAGGGCCTTTCTACTTCATGGTTCTACCTACTCCTTTCGACCGACGGGTAAACATAATATGAGATCCGCACGGATTTCCTGGATCGGCGTTGGAGCCCCGTGGCGCCTGGCGCCCTCCGAGCGCCAGGGAGTGGGGTCCAGCGCCGATCCGAGACACCCGCGCGGACCTCACGAAGTGCATGCTTTACATGATTTCCTGTTCTCCTAACGACGGGGTCGTCCTCGCCGTCGTCCTCGTCGTCGTCGTCGTCGTCGTCGTCGTCGTCGTTGTCGTCGTCTCTGCGCCAAACAGGTCTGCGGCGGTTGTCGCGGGTTTTCGAGGGTTTTCCAGCCTCTGGAGAGAGATACTCTTCAGCAGCCGCGCTTCGCCGAGGGCGCTCCGGGAACACCTTCCCACGGGGGAAGCGTCGACCTTCAATCGTCCTCCATTCGCCGGGGCCCCTCTGGGCCTTTACCCCCCGCCCCGTCCAAGAGCGTGCAGCGCTTCGTTCTCGGGGGCTGCCGCTGGTGTGTCGGCGACGTATCACCGGCTCCTGGTTCTTATCGGAGGCGACGATCAGGGCGAATCGCCCAGGGGCCGGCATTGCGTGCATTCGCCTGGGGGCCTCGCCGAAGGCATCGACCATCGGCGCTCCTGGATACATGTATTGCTGTCTCCTGGGCTACTCGCCCCCATGGTCGCCCCCGACCTTAGTCAGTGATTGCACCCCCCCCCAGCGATACGGCTATCTCTGAGAGGGGGGGGGGCGGGAGGCGGCGCGGCGGTTGCGAAGTTTTGCTGCGAGTCGAGATGGATGGGAAGTGCAGTGTGGGCTGCAGCAGGGCTCACGGGAAACAAATGCATCCCTTTACCAGTACCCGTTCTTTGGTGTGAGCATCACAGGGGGCGACGTGGCTACGGGGTGGATGTGGAGGGGGTTTTGGATAAGCTGGGCAAGAGCTGGACCATGTTTGTTTCAAGATAGCCAGGACTTCCAGATTTCAAATTGTTCGGCAAAGGGCTCCAGAAACGAGGGCCGCTGGATACTCCAGAATTCCTGGATCGAATCCTGAGCCAATCACATCATAACATCATTCCCGTCCCATAAAATAAGCAATCAATTTGGATTACGTATTTTCCCACCGCGCTATCCAGCCGCCACTTGCTAGCCCCGCCTCTGTGCGAGCACAGCGTCGAGATTCATTCAGGGTGGTTCTGAGGCTCGGCACAGTCATCACGGGGCTGTCCCCAGGAGGGGGCTCTGCAATGCTGCAGTTGGGCTCGGCTGTAACGCTGCATGGCTGCATGGCTGCTCCGTTGCGTCTGCGGGGCCTCTCAGACCTGCCATACTCGTAGCAGCTGTGGTCCTTCCCCCCCTGGGGGACCCATCGGGTTCGACGTCCCTCTCGAGGGATTGTCGATACGATGAGGCCCTCAAGAGGGGTAAGGACCACAGCTCCCCCAGTTGTGACTGGAGCCTCTCTGGGGGTTTCTCCGCGACCTCCTGGGGGGCCGTCGGGGGCTTGTTGGGCGTCTCGAGGCCGCCTCGGAAGCGATAGCTCTAGTTACCGAGTTCATCCCGCAAAAGCTGGGTTGAACCACCTTTGGGCCGTCACGGCGGACTCTGGGGCCGTCTTCGAGTTCGCTAGGGGCAGTATTGGGCCATGTGTGGCCGTCCTGGGAGCTTACTGTGGCTTTCTGAAGCTTTTCTAAGTGCAATGTTCGGCTGGAAAATATCGAAAGCTGAACTCCTTGGAATGCCACGTTCTTGGCTTGTGGGTCTCGCTGGAGGACTCGTGGGGTGTTTTTGTGTCGTCCTCGTGGCTCTTCACTCGCCAGGCCTGAGTCGAGGCGGGGAAGCGAGCAGGGACGTATTACAATCGGTGCGTGTTCGGGAGCACGTCGACGAGGGTCCGTCTTTCAGTATCGTTCCACCGATCTCCATCCCCATCCCCATCCCCATCCAGACCCCCACCATCTCAGCACCCCAGTTTTGGATATACCCCCCGAAGCCCGAAGGAAAAACAGCCACTTTCCCCATCTAGGGGAGTAACCAGCGTGGCGCAGGCCACGCCGGTGGGGACATGGGTCGGTAGAAAGATGTTCAGAGGGTGAGTGCCGGTCGCTGCAGTTTCTGGGTAGGGCCCAGCTTGGCTTCCCCTGTGGGGTCGGGACCTCGCCGTGGCCTCTATGGACGGTCTGGCGCCATTTGGGGGGGGGGGCTCTCCTGGGTGCCAGTGGCGGGCCTCTGCGGGTCCACGGGGCGCGGAGCGCGTGGTGCGTGAGGGGGTCGCCGAATCGATGCTCTCGCTTGGGGCCCTGCTGGAGGGTTGCGGAGCGCCTCTGGCGGTCCAAAGGTCACGAAGTGCGTGAGGGGGTTGCCGCATACGGGGCGACGAGATCTGCACAGATTTGCTTCCCTGGGTCTGGCCCATCATGGGCCCAAGAGCGGCGCAAACGCCTTCCTGGCGTGACCAGGGCGGGCCCAGCATGGGCCAGGCCCAGGGCTGTGGATACGTATAGAATTCGTTGCCCTAGTGCCTCCCCTGAACCGTCTTCAGAGGTCAGCCGAGTGCAGACGTGCGGGAGGGGTGACGAGCTGAGGATCCCCGAGCTGTCTGGAGGGCTAGCTGAGGGTTCCTGCAGGTGGATGCCCAGTATCACCGAGACAAGAGCCCACGGCTAGGTCGATACCATGGTCTCTCGTAGCCCTCAGTCCTCGCGAGGAATCCCAGCTTTGATTTCGGGTGGACGCCTCAGAGCGCACCAGCGTGACTAGGCGCTGGGTGTTGAGGTATCGGCGTTCGCTCACTGGAATCAGTCCGAGTAAGCGAAAAGCAGCGCCCTTTTTTTTGTGTGTGTGTGTGTGCTGTTTGTTTGTTTGTTTGTGTTTGCTTGGTTGGTTGGTTGTTTGTTTGTGCGTTGCCCATCGGCCTGCAGAGTCCGCCTTGCACCTGTTACACTGGCCTAGCGCAGGGTCCTACGAAGATGGTCGACAGTGAATCGCCAACGCGAGTCTTGTCTGCACATTCGGCGATTGTGATCCATTGCCGCGCACGATGGAACTATGTGTGTGTGTGTGCGTGTGGCTGTGCATGTGAGTGTGAAGGTGCCACAAACTCGCCGCTCAGCAAAATCGCGTCTATATGGAGGTGTGTATGTATGTATGTACGTACGTACGCACGTATGTATGTATGTATGTATGTATGTATGTATATATGTATATATGTCTGCATGTATGGTGTATGTATATGTGTAGGTATGTATATTTGTATGTGTGTATGTGTGTATGTGTGTGCGTGTGTGTGTATGTATGTATGTATGTATGTGTGTATGCATGTGTATGTGTGTACGTACGTATGTATGCATGTATGTATGCATGTGTGTACGCATGTCTGCAGGCATGCATGTATGTATGTAGGTAGGTGTGTGTATGTGTGTATGCATGCATGTCTGTATGCGTGTATGTCTGCAGACATGTATGGATGCATGCATGCATGCATTTATGTATGTGTGCATGCATGCATGTAGGTATGTACGCATGTGCGTACACATGTATGCATGTATGTATGTATGTAGGTATGTATGTATGTATGTGTGCATGTAAGCGTGCATGAATGTATGCACACCTGCATGTATTTATGTATGTATGTGTCCATGTGGGTATGTATGTATGTATGTATGTATGTATGTATGCATGTATGTATGTATGTATGTATGTATGTATGTATGTATGTATGTGTGTATGTATATATGCATGTATGTATGCATGTATGTATTTATGTATGTAAGTATGTATGTATGTGTGTATGCATGTATGTATGTATGTATGTATGCATGTGTGTACGCATGCATGCATGCATGTACGTACGTACGTACGTATGTACGTATGTATGCATGCATGCATGCGTGCATGTATGTATGTATGTATGTATGTATGTATGTATGTATGTATGTATGTGTGGCTGTATAGATGTATGCATGCACGTATGTATGCATGCATGCATGCATGTATGTATGTATGTATGTATAAATGTATGAATGTATGTATGCGTGCATACATGCATTTATGCATGTATGCATGTATCTATGTATGCGTGTGTGTTTGCCTTTGGCTTCCAGGCTGCTCGGGCACGCGTGCGGTTTGCCCCGCGAGGGCTCGACGGCCAGACGTGCCATCCACCCGCGACGACCGACAAGTGTGCGTATGTGTATTGATCGCGTGTGCAGTCAATCCGTACAATAAGGTTGCGCGGTAAGGATGCAGGGGCCTTGGAGGGTCATATTAACGTTTGTCGGACGAGTACTGACAGCAGAAGTTACCAAGGATGGGCCGAAGGGACACAGATGCAAGGCTAGCCTTGGAAAATCGTTCATCCTTAATATGCGGGTTGACTCTGTGTGTGCGTCTGTGTTTCGTATATCTAGCTCTGCTGATCAAGCTCGGTTCGGGAGTGATCACGAGAACACCTAAAAAAAGCTCCAAGATGGGCCAAGATGACCCCTGAGACGGCCCAGGACGTCTTTCAGAGACCAGAGGCCCTAGGACGGCTCCAGAGAAGGTCAAGGGAGGCCCAAGATGGCCCTTTCGTCCTCACATCCTCCCCTTCCTGCCCTTCCTCCCTCATTTCATCTAGGTGCCATCGTACTGCTCCGCAGCCTTGTTGGTCTTCGTCGTCATCACGCATCATTTGATGCCAATGTTTCGCCCTCCTTCCGCTGCTGCAGCAAGGAGTGTCAGGAACATCTCGCTGATGCTCCACGACGCTTGAACGCAGTTTTGCTGGGTTGCGCCCGTAATGTCGTGACACATCTGGCCTTGGAGCGCTGCCCACCGCGAC